TTTTTGACTCAGATAGAGGGGGTAATAAACAACACTTAATATAAAAATCATATTAACTGTTTAAAAAAAATTTTTTTATCCAATTAAATCTCATGTTTTTTACCCCCCTCTCATGTTTAGAGTTGCAGATCATTTATTAATGTTATGTTAAACAGAGAATTAAATTGGGGTGGCCTTATTGGTAAAGGTTTTTTTTCTACTTCAAAATAATATTTTTTTGCCTCTAGCTAATTCTGGACATATAGTTTTTAGTCATATTAGTGCTAAGTTTTTCATTTATTTTCTTGGATTTGGTGATTTTATTCATATTGATGAGCAGCATAATTTGATAACTCTTTTTGGGAAAGCTTTAGAGTTATATAGGTTTTTTAATGAATTCTCTATGAAGAATTTGTTATGAATTATTGTTCATTCTGAAGTAGAAAAAGATTAGATTTAATAAATAATGTATAATAAATCAATAGAATGATTCTCTATGCCAATTCTGCTATTGTGGCAAATTTTGATAATTTTGCATAAGTTCAAAATATACTTTTTTTTGATTATTATGTTAGTTTAATTTAATTATTTGCCAATTGATACACTTAATTTAAGGTAAACTATTACCTCACATTTAATTTTTTTTATTCATAGCCATTTTATCATATTTTTTTTAAAAAAAATTTATCAATCGAAGTAGTTAAAATACTCATTTAATTTTACTTAAATTAACAATCAACTTAAGCTTAATGCTAACTATATCAACCTTATTTTATCTGCATCTATTAAAAACTTATCTCATATTCTTCCTTTACCATCTGTCAATATTTCTGACTCCCTTATATCTATACTTTTTTACAACAATAACGCCTCTGAAAATCTTACTCAAATTGCTTTGATCAACAACTCCTATCAATACTTCAGATTTTATATAGATGGCTCTGTCAAAAACTTTGGCACTGACCAATGCACTATGGGCATCGGCTAGGCCAAGTCTATAACAATACTGTAATTCATAACTTCTCTGTTCAAATTATCAATTGGCCCTCAATCTTACAAAGCTGAACTCTTTGCTATCCTATCTGCTATTTCAACCCTTTTTCGCAACTCCTTTGTTAATATCTATACAGACTCCCAATCTGTAATCTCTAAATATAACAAACTTATCTCAAATTACCACTTTTTCTCTAAATCTCTTAAGTTCAACTCTTGGCCTATT